GCGGAGCCGGCAGATGAAGTAACGGCGGCAAGAGGGAGGAAACACCTCCGCAAGGAAAGGAAACAGCAACGCCAGGCTGGGAATTACAGAGGTTCTTTACCTCAGGAATAGCTTTCCTCACGGGCCCAGCTCAGTACTCAGTTCAGTTTGTAAGCTCAGGCGCCTGAGCTTATAAATCCAGGCTTGACTTAACAGGCTTAACGTGATGTTTCTTTTGTTTTTTTTTCCCCTGAAATGGGAACTGCTGTGTTCTGGGGCCCTGCATTTTGGCTGCCCTCTCAGGTAAGATGCTCGAGTGTGTGCATGCATTTTTTTTTCTTTAAGCTAATGGGGATTTTCAGTCAGGAAGCAAGCCAAAGGCAGGAGCCAAAACTCCTGTGTGCTACACAGCCTCTCTAGGGAGCCATCACAAACAAACCCAGGGCAGAACATCCCCACGTCCCTTCTAAGCTATATTTAGCACTCTAGCTTTGGCTTGTTTGACTGTCCATCATCATCTACTAAATTAGATATTCTAAGGACAAGCTTATATATTACTGACTGCAACTGTAAGCTTGTCCCTATGTGCTGGTGTTTTCCAGGCGTGATTAATTTAAGTATGTGTTTAACTGCTTGTTTTTCTCCATTGAACAGCACTAGCAATTACGTTCTCAGTCCATGACTTAGAGACATTCATTTTAATGTGATTACTACATAACTTGCATTTGTTTTTTAGTAGAAAATAGACCTCAAAGCTCAAATAACTCTAGCTCACTATCTAGCAAGTCTTTAGAACAGAAAGAATATGCATCAAACTTAAAAATCGCAAAAAAAGCTCCATTTCTAATAATTTTGTTACTTTCGCATCTTCTGAAAAGATAATTATGAGGATTTTCAGAATTGCTACTCTTAATGGTGCACATTCTTTCTCGTTACTAAAACTATATTTTGCAAGAAGAGAAGTTTGAAAAGGGGAAAAGTGCTTCTCATTTCCGACTCATTCAAACTTATAAACCCGTTTCACAGACTCCTTGCTTTTTTACACATTGATGATAACCTTCTCGTTCTAAAAATCTAAATCCCAAACAGATCTGTTTACTGAAACTTCCTCCTTCCCCTACTACGGCACCAAACATCAAGAGCCGTTCCGGATAGTCTGCCTCACAACAAAGCTCTGCAGACTCCTCTCCATAAATAACGCTCAGAGCGCCGTTCCTCGGTGCCACCTGCCCACTGTATGACATCTTACGACAACCTCCCACACCATAAAGTGACGGTGCTTCATAGGGGTGTTCTCCTAGCAGGCAGGGAGAGGGAAATTGTATTTCTCCCCATTTCTTGGTTGGATTGAGGACCAAACATAACAAAGGGTAATCAGGAACTACTCTGCTCAAAGAATCTTGCAAGTATTATGTTATCGTTTCTGTTGACTGCATGAAATAGAGAAATTGCCCTGAAATAGGGCAGTCTGCATTACCCAAGAATGCCAGGATTTACCCCCCACCGCCCATTACTATACTTTTCTAAACATCTTTCATCAAAAAAAAAGAAAGAAATTAAGTGAAAGGAGAACTTGCCAGTTGCAGGAAATTGTTTAGTGAGCCTCTCTAGAGCAGGCTGGAATCCTGCCATCTTCCTCAGAGTACTGACTCCCACAACAACCACAGCATCACCTTTCCATCAGCAAAAAAGGTTTGGACCCAACTCCTTAAACCTTATGCTCCTGCTTCTCCAGAGCTCAGCAGATAAAACATTGAAAGCAGAGGAGAACAGTTAACTAGTAATAATCACCCTATCTGAACATTAGTCTTTACTAAGTTTATTTCCAATATCCCATTTTACCATTTTAAATTTATCTGTGAGAGAAAAGAAACTATTCAGTGTGGGTTTTTTTTTTTTTCCTACACTGTAAGCTTTTTAGAGTGACTTTTACCATGCACATTTTATGTATGGATACTACAAATTTAGTCCATAAACTTGGTGGTTATGCAGTACTTGGCATGATAAATTGCATCTTAAAAGTGGACCTAAAGGCCTAGAAAACAAGCATGGTGCGTACCTTAGTGAGTAATGCTCTCCTGTGCCATCCACAGAAAGGGTTATGCAAGTCTACCATGTACAGAGCCTGATAAAGGCTATAAGAGGTTCCTGACTAGTAATAACCAAGCTAAGCGTATAAGAAACATCCTCCCTGTCTATTCAAAGATGACATCTTAGAATCTCTGGCACCTAGGATGACTTAGGGATTTTTGTATCCAATTTTTTTAAATCCCATTTCAGGATCTATAAAAACTGTAATACATCTTAGCCTAAGAAAAAATTCTTACAAAAATAATAAAAACACAACTCCATAAAATTAATAAGTAACAGTTAATGAAATCACAGAATCACAGATATCTGTAAATACCTCATAAGCATGTCTTAACTTCCCATTTTGTCTTATTTTCCTAACAGTATGTGCGTGAATACTATTCGACATGAGTAGAAATTACTCTGTTTTAATAATTAGGTGCTGAAAATGAAAAGCAGGGAAAATCTGTCATATGAAGAAGATAAGACAGAGGTGACTGAGTAAGTCAGAGCACAAGAGTGAATGAGAATGGGCCTTTGAGAAGTAAATTGAGAAGAATTGGGAAAAGCAGTTTGCCAAGGGCGAAGAGGCACAAATGAGGAATGACAGGTTTAAAGGGGTACTTGCAGGCAGTTCAGCACATCCGCCACGAGGTGGCACATAGCATAAACAGAACCAGCAATTCAGAACTCCAAATGAACAGCATTCTACCACGAACATAAAAAGGAAGTTATAACAAGTCGATGTATCAGCAAGTACCGTCAGGACAAGGGAGACGCATGAATGCAATGTCATTACACAAAAATGGCCTGTATTTTATTTCATAACACATGCTTAACTAAACCAGGAGCGTCAGCCTATATTGCTCTGTTAGTTTCCCAAATTTAAATTACATATAGGTGTCAGTAACAGTTAGGAGATACACAAAGTCCCTGAAAACAAGGCTTTATAGGAGCAGAAACGAGAAAGTGGGTGGTATCTCTGACGAGAAACAACCCCAAGGCGGGACACGTCAGGACAACGTAATACTGGTGAGAGGGGGCAGAAGGAACTGTGGATGCCAAGGTGAAAGAAGGGCTAAGCGGCTCGCGCTCAAGGCCGCCGCATCTGTAGTCACTTGAGACACGGGAAGGGGAATTAGCTGGGTGAGTTTCTTACATGGTCAAAGCAATCCCACATCTAAGACTTTAGGATAACATAGCAAATACCACTAGATTAATGGCAAAGCTTGGTGAACTGGGAATTTGTGGTGATGCCCGCTACACCCAGCAGGATGCAATATAGGAAATGCTTTTTTCCCAGTGCGCTCTCCTTGCCCAAAGGGCACAGAGCCGAGGGACTGCAGGAAGGCAATTGATGCTTTTCTGGGAAAAAGGACTGAACAAAAAAAAAAAAAATGAGGAGAGTTTCCTGAGTGAGGCACTAAGAGAAGGAAGGTCATTATTTCAGAAAAGAGTAGATCCAGGCTTATATGCTTCACGAGCATCCAGATCAGAGTTAACATGGATTTTTTTTTCCACCAAGCTTGAACAGGAACTTGGAGCTAGCCTTGAAAACTGGGCCACTAACACGTAAATCAGTGTACCTGATCAGTTGGGATAGTTTTTAATCTTCCCCAACAAACCTGAAATGTGAAAATTTATTAAGTCTATAAAGCACATCACTGATATGAGAAAGCAAGTAAGAAAATACCATATGTCATATTTCAATCATGCAAGAAGAGCTCAGTCCTTATGAAAAAGCACACAAAAGGCATCCGTATGGATATTCACTTTAGTCTTTAACCTTCACAGGTCTTAACGGGCCCTGCAGAAGGTCAATGGTGGGCACCTGAAATTCTGGTAGATCCACATGGATCCACAGAGCTGCATGGCACGGCACAGCATCCTGGGCGAGAGGAGCGAGGACTTTCCTGCCCGAACTCCATGGATGGAGGCACAGAAGTAGCAGCCATTTGGCAGATAGTTTTCCTATGTCCTACAGCAAAGTCAAACACAAGGCTGATGGGAACTGCAATTGTGGAAGGAAATGCTATTATTATCTACCTTGTAGGAAAGAGGAAAAAAATATACGAACAGTTGTATGAAACTATCTGCCATGTAAAGATAACACGAGGAAAATTATTAACAGAAGAATGAGATATCTCTACTTCTTTTACAAGTTGTCTAGGTAAGTATGGATTTTTACCACAAGATGGTGCAAAAACACAGAAAGTTCTAACATACCAGAAGGGCACTGGTGAACCATTTTCTGTTTTTCTAAAAATTGAAAAAAGGACACAGCTCTCAGCACACACTCGTTCGTTAAACATTAACACATACATCGGGTGTCTGGTCAAAAAACTTTATGCCACTAATAAGGAAAGTTAAAAAAAAAGAAGAAAAAAGAATTGCAGCATTTAATCTAATTTAATTTAAGAATTTAATCTAGGACGTTTATCCAAGAAAAGGCACCACAGAAGAGAGAGGGAAAGGAAAAAAAAAAGGCAACACAAGCAAATCAACCCCAAACTAAGCCAGTGCACACCGGTCCATCTAACAGCACTAACACGGGAAACTTCCAGGTTTGCTCTCGCACGGAGGCTCGCGTTTGGAAGCAAGTTCACTCCCAAAGCCAGCCCCCGGCTGCCAAGTTGCGGGCTGTTTCTCGGGGTCGTTTGGGAAGCGGGCGAGCAGGAGGCGCCCTCGCCACCCGCAGCTCGCCCGCAGCCCGAGCGCGG